CCTGGACAACTCACCCCAAGGGAGAAACCCATGTGCCTGCACACCATCTCTAGCCCAGAGGAAAACAGGACAGACTCTGACTTTGAGTCACTGACCCAGGCTTGTTAACAGAGCCCAGAGTGGGTGGCCAAGCCATTTATGGGACAGCCTGGCCACATAGTGCTGGGAATCTCCAAATGTAAACTAGTCACAGTGGAGTTCAGGCTCTGTGTGGTAAGTTATTGTGGGAGGCCATCCGGAAGACTAGTTGGGAAGCTGTTTGGGGAGTCAGAGAATCTGGGAATCAGGCTCTAAACTCTGACTTTGGCAGGATGTGATGCTTCTTCTTATGCCTCGTTTCTCTCTCTGTGGAGAGAAGATCCTGACTGCTGCTCTTCCTGCTTCTTGGGGAATGGTACAGAGGAGGGATTACACACATGGTTGAAGATCCTGGGCCACCTGCCAGCCTGTCGACTCACCTTTTTGCATCTTGGTTTCCTCTAAGATGTCAAATGAGGACAAGAGGATAGTGGCCTTATTGGGGTTGCTGGGAAGGGTGAGAGAGATGATGCACATTGAGCTTAGCCCAGTGCCAGGCACATCATAAGGGAGAAAGGCTGTTGGCCATTTAGACAGAAACAGCAGCCAACCCTGCCAGGTGGTGAGGAAAGTGTCCTCTTTTTACTCTCACGTGCTGAAAAGTTGTGTTATTGAAATGGGGTTTAGAATCCTGCACCATCAACTTACCAACTGGTGCTGAGACTCAAGACAAGTTGGAAGAACATTCTGAAGCCCCCAAATTCCATGTGTTGCTAATCACGAGATTGTGCCATCAATGAGCTGGCATGCAGAAATCATTTGGCCTGTGGAAAGCCCTGGCAATTGCTAATTTGTTTGCTCAGTTGTGTTTGCTGCTTGACCTGCACAAACAGGCTTCCTGCAGTCTCTTTCTGACCAACCTAGGAATACCAGGACACCTCCACCCTTCTCCTTGAAACCTCAGACCCTTGAGTAGTGACCAACCTTGTGACAAGGGAGACCAAGCAAGACTGTGAACAAGCAAGGGGAAGGAACCAGGAACTGTGTGTTTCCTCCACATGGGACACTCTGAGAACTGGAGGTGACATGATTTCAGTGACTTCTTAACAGAACATGTGGAGATCTTGATGAGGACCTCTGTCTTACAGATGGCGAGACTGAGGTGTACAGGGTGCCAGGGACTAGTGAAAGTCACACCGTCCCTACGTGGAGCCTACAAATGAATTCCAAACTTTGCTCAGTAAATACAGCTCCACTTAAAGCATGTGGTATAGACAAGGAGACTCTGGATCTGCATTCTGAGGCCAAATCCTTTAGATTTTATCATATTCTTTATTGGGTTTCCCTCTCTGAGTCATGTTTCTTTGGGAAAAGGCTAAAACTTCCTGGGCTAATGGGCAAAGGGAAGAGAAAGGTGGCACCACTCCAGTACAGCCAGATGACCAGAGCAGCCTGAGGAACTCAATGGCAGTGAGGCCTTGTCCACCAAGGATTTGGAAGAAGCTAATGGAACTGGGAAAGGCAGAAACAAGAGTAGACAAGACACGGTTTGCAGGAAAAGTCCATATTTTTAATTCCTTTCTGGCCAGGGCTTGGCCTTCTACCTTTCTCAAACTGAGAAGGATTTTTAGCCAGTTGGAAGTAAATTCTCGTTGTACACATAGGGAAACTGAAGCCAGAGAAGAGAGATAACTTTTACTGAGTTCCACAGCAAGTGAGTACAAGAAAGAGCCTCCCTAACTAGTATTTTGTCTGAATGTTTGTGCATTCATTTGATCTTACCCCAGTGGGTCCACTGAATGGAATTATATGGTAGATTGACTTCTACAATAGCCCTGGCCCCTGTCCAGTCTGAGCTGGCACACAGTGAAGAAGTCACTTAGTACAAGAATAGTGTAAAGATAGGGTGCAAAGATTTAGTGTGAAGGCTGTGGTGCCATCTTTGGCCAGACCAGTGAGATGTTCGAGATAAGAGGAATAGGAGCCGGTCATGGCAGAAGAGTGCAAATGGCTAAAGACTTCAAAGTAAGAAAACATTGGGAGTATTTGAGAAACCTATTAATAAATAATAAAGCCCAGGGAGTGAGGGGGGAAAAGAACCAGGTGAGGTGTGAAAATTGTGTAGAGATCAGATGACGCGAGGCCTTGAACTTGTGGTAAAGACTTTGGGTTTTATTATAAGAGGCAGAATTTGTTGAACCTGTGCCTGTGTGAGATGCAGATGTGATGATGTCCCTAATGGGTACTGCAGCTCAATAGGGAAGAGTTTCAGGGAAGACATTAGAGGTAACTGGATCATTCTAATGGTAGAATGCGAGCAAGGGCAGGAGAAGGGGATGGAAAAAGGGATGGGTGAGTTGAGGACAAAGAGATTGTCCACATGGTGGAGGTGCAAGATGAAAGAGGCACAGTAGGCAGAGATGACAGTGAAATATGAGTTGTGAGAAATTTGATTCTGCACTAATGGATGTGGAGTTGAGCATCTTCCTATGTGTTGGGCCATGTGCTGGGGCTTCTGCATGTTTCTTCTTGTTTTATCCTCACAACTACATGACATATGGTACTTTTAAAAAAAAAATCACCCTTTTATAAATGTAGAAACTCACAGTCATGGCAGTGAAGGAATTCTCCCAAAATTGCTCAGCAACTGTGAGGCAAATGGATTTCAGTTCAGGCCTTTGGGCCGCTAGGGTGGTACTCTCCATATGCTAAGCTCAGTCATTGGAATTTGAGGTGACCCTGTCCTTGGTTTCCCCACTTGGACATGGAGAGTTTTCTCTGTCTCTTCCAGCTCTAATATTCTTGTGCTCGTCTTGAAAGTTAAGAGGTTGTGGGGAAATGATTCTAGAAGTTATGGAAGAACATTCTAGATTCTAGATGGGGTACTCTAGATTAATTCCACAAGTTATGGAAGTAGGAAGGTCAATATCCTGAATAGGGAATTATAAGAAAAGAGAATCAAGCACATATTACTTTAAATTAAAAAGAAAAGCAAAGAGATGGCCCAGACATAAGTACAAAGAAAGAAGAGAGGGAGAAAGAAATGAAAATCCATTCACTCTGTGGCTTAGGCTCTGAGAAAACAAGAACGAATAAGACACGGTCCCTGCCACAGTAGCCAAAAAGTCTGTGGGAGGATAGATCTGAGAGAGAGAAGGAGAGAGAGAGAAGAGAGGAGAGAGAGAGAGAGAGAGAGAGAGAGAGAGAGAGAGAGAGAGAGAGAGAGAGAGATTGTATGTAAATGTATATTTGTGTACATTACACATATGTATATTTGAGTGCTTGGCATATGTTAAGTGCTATATTAAGTGTGTTTTGTGCGTTATTTGGCTTATCCCTCATCACGTTGTCGGGAGGTATGTGTGTATACCTTCATTATTCCTGCTTAATGAATGCATTTACTGAGCCTCAGAGAATTATCCCATGCCCAAGGTCACAACTTCAGTAGATGAGAATGCCATGCTGTAGATCTAAATCTTACTGATGTTCAGCCCGACATTTCAAATTATTGCAAAAATTTTAGGACGGAGAGAGGTTGGGAGCCAAGAGGATGTGGAGGGAAGGAAGAAAGAGAGAGAATCAGGAAGGGCAAAGAGAAAGATAAAAAAAAAGAGAGAGAGAGAGCTGGCTATAGAGAATGAGCCCATAAGTAAGTACACTGAGGACGAGGAGGGAAACAAAGATGCTCTCAGAGACTGTGAGCACTTGGAGACCCTGCCCAGGCAGGAGGCGAATGAGGTCATTAAATCCATCTGCGCAGATGGGGACCCTCTGGGGAAAGTTATAAGCAAATGTTATGATGCAATGAGGTGAAATCGACTTGCGTTAGTTCAGGCTGAGACTCCAGCAGGGACTGCACTGCTCGCTTTGGAAAGATGGATCGTGTGCTGGATGGGAAGACACTGTCTCTGTTGGGCTCTTCCTTTCGGTTTCTAGGAAGGCAAGCCAGCCCAAGGTCACAGAGCACATAAAGGATGGACTAGGAACCAGAACACGGGCCTTTCACTTTTTCTCATGCTAAAGCCTGCTTCAGAGGTCCTTAAAATAAATTTTGTTCAAAACCCACATGTGAATTATTTCCTGTTCAGGATTTCAGCCTCAGCCCAGACTACCAATATGAGAATTAGGCATTAGTGATGCTTTCTTCATTTTCTCTTTCTTTCTTTTTTTTTTTTTTAACCACAGATTACCACTTTACCACTAAGCCATATCCCCAGCCCATTTTTTAATTTTTTATTTTGAGACAAGGTCTCAATAAATTGCTTGGGGCCTCACCAAGTTGCTGAGGCTGGCTTGCAATTTGCCATCCTCCTGCCTCAGCCTCCCGAACTGCTGGAATTACAGGTGTGTGTCACTGAACCAGCTAATTATGTTTTCTTAAACTACAGTTCCACACCCTTTATTTCCCTTGATCATCAAGAGTTCTACATATTAGGTATCCCACTGTACAACTATATTAAACAATGTTGGGATAATGTATTAGTGTATTACAATTTTTCCAACATAATTTTACTCAGCCCTTTTAGTTGACAGTGGATTTTACATATCACCTCTGAATATAGTAACCTGACACTCAGAGAGAAGTGGCTTATCTTTCTTTAAGTAACAGATCTCTTATCACTTTGGGCAAATGCCCGTCCCTTTCTCAGCCTCAGTTTCTTCATCAATGAAAGGGTGATTTTTTTTTTGGTTGGAGTTTTTCTTAGAGAGTTATAAAAGCAAATTAGTATTTTGTTGTCTGCAAAGTGTTCAGCACATGGACTGTTATAACAAGTACCTCTGCAAAGGGGGACCTGCTATGATAATGACCATGGTGCTACTGATAAAAGTTATTGCAGTGCTAGCAAGAAGCTGAACCATGTCCAGATTTTGAATCTTCTCCTCAAATTCTGTGGTAGTCCTCCTGCCCTGAGCTGCTTCTCTGATAATTACTGCATTAGACTTAACCACCTAACTCACTCCCTTTCTGTTTCCCTCTGCAGGTCACCCCTTTCCCTATGTCCTGTGACCTACAAGGTGACTGTGCTTGTCGGGACCCTGAGGCCCAAGAACACAGCCGGAAAGATCTTCGGGGATACAGTCACGGCTAAGGAAGGACAGGAGTTTTCAAAGAATTCCCAACGCCAAGACCTACATCCCTTTGGTATTGATTTCACAGTCCGCTGCTCAATGGAATGGCCTCTCCACACCAGGGATCCTTAGCACCCAACCGGTCTGCCTTTAATTTCACCCAGGAAGGACTCAGAGTGGGGCAAATGAACCAAGTCTCGCCATGTTGAATGAGAATGGAATCCCATCCCAAAATCTGAGATGGATGGCATATGCAGTGTGCAGTCCCAGAGCCTCCTAAAATTCTAACCATTTGTCACATGACCACAGCAAAAACATGTTCTGTATCTAGGAGTATGCATATCTGTGGTTAGAACACATGCATGCATACACACCCATACAAACATCTGTGTGAGGACAGCTCTGGAGACTGAGCAGAAAGAGACTGGAACAAACTCAATCTTTCCTTTCCCAAGCTCCTAGCCAACACTATCCTTGGGAGAAAGAGAGTTACAGAAACTGCTAAGACCAAGTACTGAGATGCCAAGATTGCTCACATCCCGGGGCTCAGAATATGTATGGCATGCACAATTGTGCAGTCCTTTGGGATTAGAAGTGAAATGATCCGTGATCACCCACCTTCTAGGGAACTAGGGCCTAGGAAAAGGTAAAGATTCCAAGGTATGCAAAGCCCACCCCCCACCCAATTATTCTGCTGCCATGGGGATTTTATCCCAACTCAAGGGTTCGAGGCCAAGCTGGAAATGGCTTAGGACTGCAAAGTCAAGGTATTGTATCAGCCCCCTGCTTGAGGCTTGAGGTCATAAGATCCCTCCACATCCCACCAGTTTCCCAGATCTTGCCTTGGGACCACATTTGCTGCTACTTTTCCTGCTGCTCTATCTTATACATTAAGTACCCCAAGATGGTAGAACTAGGTTAGGAAAAAACCCCACACAACCAAGCAGTCTGCCTTAAAAATGACCCATATTTCCCACAGTTCCTCACTTAGCCCTTCTACAAAAGAAAAAAAAAAAAAAACCCTCATGGGCCCACATGGTGAGAAGCTAAGAACCCTATGGGTGGGTCTCTTATCCTGGAAGGGAATTGAGGGACCTTAGATGCTGGAGCCCTTCCAGAGAGTCCAGAATGTCTAAGCCAGTGTTAGATTTTGTAATCAAGTGGACCAGTGTTAAGCTTCTGGGATGTCGGAGCCATCCAGAGACTAGGAATTGTCAGGACGGTTGGATTCTTATGTGTCTCCTCGTCTTCCTAGCCCTCCAGGCTCGAGTCGGCATTGATTCTGAGACCCTCACTCTTGTTCTGAGTAGTTAGAATTCTGGAACAGGGAATCACCTTGGATGTGATCAGCGGGGCTGGGTTCTACAGGGAAAACAGAGGGAAGCCCATAAGATCACAGCCTTGGAAACCAATATGGTCATCAGGTTTTCCATATAATTTTCCAGCCATCAGGACTCCTTTCCACACCTGTGAATGGACAACCCCTCCCTCTCTTCCATGTTCAGCTTCCAAAAGCCAAGAGGAAATCAGCCAATGGAACATGGAAGTCTCCACCTCTATTAGGGCCTCTTTACCTCTTTCAAGTCAGTTGCCTGTCCGTGCCCTTTGAATTAATATGGGAAGATATTCATACAGGATGAAATGGAGACAGTTGTTAAATCTGACATATTTTTTGAAACCTGGAGCTGGGATGTAAGGAGATGGGAGGGTTTAAACTAATTATATCCATAGAGATTACTGTAAATCAAGTGATCTCAAGTCAAGTGAAGACAACCAACAAAAGCAAAGTCTTGGACAGAAATGGAAAACACCAGGCACATGTGCAGCCCCTCCTAATTCCCGCTTCCAAGACAGGCATTATTAATCCATCATGTCCCCTTTTCCTATTGGGACCAAAAATAACTTCAGAAATGATCTTATTACTCCCAACAGCCATTACCTGTTGATTAAGAACACTTGAAAAGGCATCTATTGGTCATCTGTAGTCTGTTATATTAAGAAACATATCTGGTGCCTTTTGCACAGGTGCCCACAGATGCAGTGTTGAGTTTATTACAAACTCTGAGATTAAGTTCCAGAATGGGGAGGCTGCCACCACTGTGCAGGCCAGGCTCAAATCCTTTATATTTCCTCCTTTAAAACCATATCACATTTATATTGAGGGATTTTTTAAATTACCAGGGCCGATCCTTAGCAAAAAAAAAAAAAATAGTAATAATAATAATAAGAAGAAGAGTGCTAGAAGAATTGACCTTACTTTCTAACCTTCTCCATATCGTAGAACTCTTGCGAACTCTTAGGGCCCCTCTCTTGCCCTAGCTGAGTTAGCATACTGAGGTGTTAGTTTAGAAGGTACGAGCTAAGAAAGGTAATAGGGCCAGACCTTCCAGAGACTAAATTATACCCATAAGTAATAGAAAAAGCTCTGAAACCCAAGACTGGCATTACTAATGATAGGATTGCAGGAACCGTGGATAAATCTCACCAGCTTCCCTTATGTCAATCCTAATACCATGTCCGCCTTCACTCTCACCGCCCTCTATCCCATCCCTATATTCTCCACCTGAGCAAAGATTCCCAGAGGCTGGCTTTCATCTTCAGATCCTCATATTCCATGGAGTCCTCTGGGTAAAGACCCACCCAGACTCCTCCTCACTGTCATTCAAACTTGTTATTTACGCAGAAGAGGCTGCTTGATTGGTGGCCAGCCCCGGGCTCACAAACAATGTGTAATTAATAGACTTTTCTCTAGACTTATTAGAAGCATCAGCTCTATCCATGCAATGCAATGCACTGATTCCCAGTTCCATTTTCTCCTTGGGAATAAACTCCTTGTTACCTCCCTTCAGTTATCTACTTGGGACAATGGAGTACTCAAGAGGAGGTGTCTCTGAAGCACTGCTATATATCCACAGTCCGGGGGGCCCTAAGATGCTTAGGAGCTCGGCATCTAAAGAAGTATTAGCCTGTTAGCAGCAAGAAAGAAAAGAAGAGGGGGACAATTCTCTAAGCTGTCCTGGGAAGTCTTTCCAAACCACAACCTTAACTGTCTGTTCAGAGGATTTGCATTACCCCCAAATTCTGTGCCAACGATCTTGCAGGCAATCCAGTCCTCTGTCAGTCAGTTTGGGTTGGCAAATGGGGTGTAAAGGAAGAGAGAGACTAAGATCAATAGCAGGCCTTTGGAGATGGAGGGTATCAGCTGCTACTTTTGGCTTCGGCACATTGGGTCACTGCCTAGATAATTCTCTTGGTCTTATTCCCATCTTGGCCAATGGTTAAATGCTATTTGTTGAAAATAATTCTTTGAGACAGATTTCAGCTACCTCCCTTCCAGGTTTGATTTAACTTGGTTGTAACTGTCAATTTGTTATAGGTCTTACCTGTGTTTAAAAAAAAAAGAAAGAAAGTGAGTAAGAGAAAGAAAGAAAGGGAGAAAAGGAAGGAAGGAAACCATAAAGTCAAGTTAACAGTTTTGAGGTTTTGTGTTTTTTGTTTCGTTTTGTTTTCTCTGGAGCTACTTCAAGTAAGAAAATATATAGAAGGAATTGATGGTGACAGAGCTGTACAGATAGAAATAAATAGAGAACAATTACATTAAAAGGAAATAAAAATGCATGATTAACAACTAAGAATAAAACCCTATTTTTATGTTTCCTAAAGAAAATTGTTTATTCTACAGACCAAGTAGTTAGATACAGCATAAAGATTTCCGTAGAAAACAGAGAGTGGGGTTTTATAACACTGTTATTTTCTGTACATTGTGGTAGGTCCAGTTAATATGGCATTTCCCCCTTGGTGTGTTGTTGTTGTTGTTGTTGGGGGGGGGCGCTTCTTGCAGTTGTTGGGTGCAGTTGGGATAGCAGGGCGTGGGGAGGGCTTTTATTGGTTTTACCCAATGTCAAGGAGAGGTACCACGTTGCTCTGCTTTTCATGCTATGAGGTGTTTGTATTCACCAGTGTAGCACAGGGCTTTATATAGACTGCACTCAGGAGCACACCGCACAGGCCCATTTCCTAAACAGCTGCTACATGACCAGACAGGTAATTCCAATGTGCTTTGAGCAACAAAACAAACCAAGAAAACAACAAACATAAAAGGTAAAGAGCAGATGAATCAAAAGCCTCTGTGTAATTTTTTTCAAATTTTGCCAAATTGCTACCAATCATTTGCTTTTGATGAGCAATATATTCATAGCCAAGAGAGGAGTGAGGTCCCCACCATAGGGACCTCGAATTCTCGACTCCAGGTAGCAGTTTGTTCAGTGATCTTGAACAAGTGATCCAATTGCCTCTACATTTTCCTCAGTTTCTCTAGCTGCAAAATGGGGATACTACTACTTACCTACCTCACAGTGGGAGGGCAGAGGATTGTGAGGCCCTGAGGTTTGAAATGGGCTGTGGCAATCTGTGAGGACCAAGTTCTGACATGAAGTCCATGGTCATTTTTCAACGCATGGGTCCATTGGCCTTTGAAGAAAGATAGGGAGTCCTGTTGATATTCCAAAGCATAAAGCTAGAGCCCCTGGATTACTGCCCCCCTTAAGAGAGAGACTTGTATTGAGGAATACTTCACTTTTTAGGTAAGCCCCCTCCCCCGCCCCCTTATTCTGGCCTTTACTGGTTCAATGATTTGATTACAGGCCAGTTACTTCCTACAGAGTAAAAGTCAGTTTACTGTTGTCTATTGAAGACTTATGGGCCATTTCCACCTTAGAGAGGAAGGGAGTCTCCCAGGTCTCCTCCTCCACAGACTCCTTACTTCTCACACTTCAGCTTCCACATCCAGTGTTCCACGAAAAAAAAAGAGATGGCATTCTGAGTGCAAACCAGTCGGGCTTCTTAAACTACACACCAGCAGTCAGTGAGGGGAACTTCGAACAATTACTGAGTTGCTTTCTTGGGTCTCTATAATCAATAACCCGTCTGCAGATATCTATCTATATAAAGATATTATATATAAATATAAATTTACATATATATGCACATGTATATATAGTTGTACATATATGTGTGTATATATATACTTAAATGTAATATTTACAAAATAAAACTGTGATCTCGTCTAGAGAAAATGTATTCATATTACAAACTGCTCTTCCATATTTATGTATCATATTATGCCTTTTTATTATTGTTATAATTATTATGGGTATTTCTAATTATTATGATGTTGAAATTTGGCACCTTCTGGAAGCTACCAAAAAATGACTCCATTGAAGTGCTTAAAATCTGTTCTCATGAGAATTCTACTGGCCTACTGTAAAAAAATGAAAGAAAGAAAAAAAAAAAGAAAGAATCTAAACACCAAAAACTAAACACAATTCCAATCCTTTTTCTGTACCTCACGCGCATAAATTTGCTGCTCCTATTTTGGGTTTTATTTTTTTTTCCTGTTTATGTGTGTTTATGGATCTAAGTTAAGTCTTTCAGCAATATAAAAATGTAAATAGTAAACTTTATTTATTAAGAATGTCATCTTTTTTAATTTATATTTACACAATTGTTCATCTAATTTATTTTTTCTATACGGTTTTAAATACTCAGACATATTTTGCTGTTCATGATATTTTTATCCTATTCTCATGAATTTGTTTTTCCATACCGTTTTCTCTGGTCTCAATTACAGGTTGGATCTCACAAAAAAATAATAATAATAATGTCAAAGACAGAAATATTTTGCCACTGTTGATTACTATACTTTAAAGTTCTATATTATGAAAATATATAATAGCTTGTATGCTTCAATGTGTGGTTGTGTGTTTTTTCTTTTCCTTGTTTTTATTTATTTATTTTTATGATGCTAAGGATCGAACCCAGTGCCTCACCCATGCTAGGTGAGCGCTCTACCACTGAGCCACAATCCTAGCCCTAAGGTTGTGTGGTTTTTGTTTTGGAATTTTAAATGACTGTCATTCACACTCACATGTGCCTGTGCACACACACAAACTAATATGGGGTGGGGTGGGGGGGGGAAATCCCAGTGCCTTGAATTAGAAAATCAATGATAGCATGAAGCTGAATCTAACATACATCCCAATCTTCCACTTAATTCCTGAAAAAGAATTTTACATTTAACATATGCAAAAATTGGAAAACATTCTTACATAATATAAGAAAGTTCCACTTCTGGGGAGTTCACTTCTAGTTATATCTTGTATTTGAATTTTCTGCAGCAGCATATTCCAGTATATTCTTTATTTTTATTTTTTTTTTAATTGAAATCTTAATCACCCAGTTCTTCAAATGTGTCGGCAGTCCAAACTGATCTGGTTGCTGCTTTCTATCTGTTTAGTGTAACTCATTGCTCATTTTGTCATCACTAAGTAGCTACATGATCTTTGGAAAGTTATAAAATTGCTTTGGGATTTTGTTTTTTCATCTGTGAAATGGAAATTTAAAAAGTACCCATTTCATAAGGCTTTTACTAAAATTAAAACAAGATCAATATGTAAGGTGATTAGAATAATACTGGGACAGATTGTGATAGGTCTTACTGTGACTATCATGAGACCCAAACTGCTTATGACAAGTATTAACAAGAGATGAATTTTATTGATATTCTTTTTTAAAAGAATAAAAACAGGATGCACTAAAGCACCCAAGTCTTGGCACAGGTGTTTCTATGGTATGAATTTATTGTTAGTGTATATGAAGCTGTTGGCTAGCAGTACACCCTAAGCCAAGTCAAAATATCTATCTGCTGATTCTTGAAATTTTTTTTAATTTTGCAGAAAGGCATTTTGGGAACATCAGTAAGAATCACATACAAGAGTGAGGTAAGGGAAGTTAAGAACTATCCACAATGCATTTTATCAAGTCTTTTAAACATAATTCACTGAAAGACATAAGGGAGGCCACCAAAAAAAAATTGCTAAATTTTCAAGGTAACTAGTTATTTTCAGAGTAAGACAAGTGATAAAAAAAGAAAGCAGTTATGTAGTTCTCTTCAATTCACTATGAAGATCAAGACAAAAATTTACTGAACAGGTTCATGAAAAGAGTTAAACTTTTTCCAAATAGAAAGATTAAGAGAGTATTAATAAGCTTTTTATCCTCCTTTGTTTAGTCTGTGGAGACAGAACATCACAGGCCAGAGAGCTTTCTCTTAGAAGATGTGAGCTCTTAGGTACAGTGTCTTCTCCTGCCCACCTCCCCCACCACACACACACAGTAGGTTTTAGTTCCCTAATCTAATGGGAAAAAATATTCCTCTCTCACTTCAAAGAAGGCAGAAATGCTCAGCATTTAGCTACTTATAGTTATCACCTAAGTTTCAGAATGTGTCTAAACAAGGAAAATGTCATTAACATTTAAAAAGTGCAGTGCAGGTATTCTAACAGGCTACACTGACCCAGGCAAGTCTCCCCACTTTTCCACTTCAGTATGGCAACCAGAACCTAGGAAAAAAGCAGACTTTCAACCTTCAACCCAGGAACCTTGCTTTTTTAACTAAATGTTTAAAAACTATAAAGGGATGAGGTTTGGGGTGAAAAATCCTACTGTACAAGGATAAGTAATCAAAGAACAAGTTCGTGGACCCCTCTGCCCTGTGACCTTGAGCAACTCACTCACCCTTGCTAAAGCAAGAGGCGTCGAGGAGTCGGCAGTGAGAAAAAGCAGGTGTAATGTGGAAGCAATGGGATGCATGATTCTTGGAAAGAAACAAAACAAAAAGGGCACCCTCAAGGAACTGAGAGAAAAATGGAGAGGGCTGATGTGCTTAGATAGTTGAGAGGGTGATAATGGTCCAAGAGGATGGAGAGGTTATCGTGAGCCACACTAAGGACACCAAGGATTTCAGACTTTATCTTGACAGCAAGATGGAACTGTGGAATAGTGTTTAGAAATTTACAGAATCAGATCTGTGGGGTTGAGAGAGGCTCCCCGCCTTGGATGCAGTACAAAGGGGAAAGATGAAGGAGTTCAGAGCAGATGCATATTAAGAGTTCAGAGGACATTACAGTAGTCCAGGAAAGAAATGATGGCTGTTTAGATGAAAGTAGTAGCAGCGGGTGGGCAGAGGACATTTTCTGGTAATATGTGGTGAAGCTCTTTAGAGTCTCTACATTCTACAATTCTAGAAACTCATATGCCACTGCCTTACACTGATTTAGATTTATTTTTAAAAATTAACAGATATTGTCTTTAAGAAAAATTTTAGGTTGACAGAAAACAAACAAACAGAAAGTAGAGTCCCCATTAGTTCTCTTTTGAAATAGTAAAATCTCAGATCAAGAAAACAGTTATTTTTGTGGACCAGCTTAGAAACTAAGATGAAGCGATCAGGCAGGTAGATATGTAAATTCAAGTGACAGTGGTGGTTTCACCATGAGCTCTCAGTAGAAGAGAGGAAGACTTTGGGGAAGGGGTCACAATGATGGTGTCAGGTGGGATCTGGGATCATAGCTACAGACATGCTGTGTTATCCTGAGCAGTATCCTACCTCTCTGAGTTTCAGTAGCATCGTCTTTGGAATGAGGTTCAATGTTACCATCTGAAATCTGACTGACCTAGGGAAAGTATGTCATAATTTAAGTGCTATCAGGGTGCTTTTATATAGTAGGTACTTGTTAGATACTAGTCCTGACCCTGTCCCCTCCCACTTCTCCAGCCCATCCTTGACTCCCACAGCAGGCTACACTCTGCAATAGCAATGGTGTGGAGGGGAGGAAATGCAGTATGCCCAGCTCAGTTTTCAGTATTTGCCTGGGGATAATATACATCACTATCACATCACCCATTCTGCAATCCGTTCAACTTGCCTCCGTGTCTGTGATATGGGACACATCATGGTTACAGGCCTAAGTAATGGAATTGGTCCAGAATGAAGTCAAATCGTAGAAACTTTAAATCAGCACATTTCCATAATTTCTGACTTGTGCTTCAAAGGGGCAATAACAAAGATTGGTGTGAGAGAGGTGCATCTTAAGATACATCTTAAAAGTTTCTCTATTAATTCTCACACAACACTATGATATGGGCATCCTGAGACAATCTTTGCAGGTGAGAGTCAGTGACCTTTTGTAGTGAGAGGACCTAGCAGCAAACTTGAACTTTTTGAGATTTAGACTCTACACTGATTCCTTCTTGTCATGTCTGTTTTGAGTCTGTTTAGACTAAAAAAGCATGATTATTTAAATATTCTAAGGATGGGAATTGCTTCAACGTCACATCAGCACAGATTGACTGACAGTAGTTTTAATGCTCAGTTGAGAAGAACTTTGAGGATGCAGCCAGACTCTGGAAAAAAAGATAATGTGACCTCAGGCAATTCTTTGAATTTCAGTTTCCTTATCCATAGCCCCTTGTAATAAAATGAAAGCTATCTGTTTGGTCTCTATCCATAATTTCTGATGTAGAGCTCCTAAATCCCCTGGAAATTCCTGGGTGATAGGAGCATCTTTTGTTCTAATGGTGTGACTCATAGTGGTCTCCTGGATATGAGCTCATCACCAGAAAAAACTAAGCTGTGATTAGAAGCTTGAAACTTTCATCCCCACATCCCATCTTTAGAGGAACTGAAGATGGAGTTAAAAATTGGCATGTCTGTGTGATAAAGCTTCTGTAAAAATTCCTACAAGATTGTAGGCTTGGTGAACACATGCAGATGCCAAGAGGGTGGTGCACTTCAACTCCACCGAGACAGAAGTGTCTGCTCTTGGGAACCTTCTGGACCTTAATTTGTTTCTTCAAAGGGCTATTCATTTATTTCCATCAAAATATTCTTTATAGTAAATTGGCAATAGCAATTAAACTGTTTCCTGGGTTCTGTTAACCACTCTAGCAAATTTTACAACTTCAGAAAGCAATCATGGGAACCCCTAGTTTGCAGCCCAATTGGACAGAAGTTTGAGTAACATGGGGACTTGTGATCAGTGTCTGAATTAGGGGATAGTCTTTTGGGCCTGCCTGTGGAGTCTGTGCTAGCTTTAGTCAATGTTGGGCTCACTATCCAATGCTCCTGCTGGTGCTGGAGCATTGGATAGTGAGGAGGAAATCCCCATAAATCTGGTTGCAGAAGTGTCGAGTATGAGTATGGAAGAAAAAATAGTTTTTGTTTTTACTATATACCACCTATCATGGACATGGGAAAGAGAGTGCTAGTATAAATGTTATATTTGTCTTTTTGTATTTTGTATAACCCTTTATTTGTCCAATGAGGAGTTGAGTTTTGGGTTGGGGGAGGGGATTCCCCAGAGATATATAAGAGCCCCAATTCTCCCTCCCTGGAGAGTACTCTCTCCCCTTGGCGAGAATGACTCTTGCTGGAACACGCACATCATCATCTTCATACTATCCTGTTTTCCTTGTACAATTTACCAATGTATATTATCACTTGTACTAAGTAGAGTATTTTTGCCAGAACTTGACTTCCATGACTTGCTGAATTTTGGTTCTTTAAATGGCACTGATCTCCTCCAATACCTAGGAGAAAAGCAGACTTTGTGTACTTCTTCAGCTATCCTATCCTCTGTTGACCAGCTAGGATATGGAAATCAACCCTTAAAATAGTTGTTAAACAGAAGCTGCAGTCACTCAACAGTCACCTTCTATGCTTTCTTCAGGACTCACTTTAGGGGTATAAATGTTTATTTTTAAGTCTGTTCTATGAGTAAGAACATTGAGGTGCAGAGAGATAAAGTGCCTTACCCAAATTACACAGCAAATATTAAGCAGAGACAGGATTTTTATCCGGGAATGTTAGATTTTCAAACCAATGTTTCCCACCGGCTCCCTGTGCTCTT